GCTTTTGCGTGGTTGCTGCGGGGGGGGGGGGGCGGGGTATGGTCCCTGGCAAATAAACCCACGCGGGCCATTCGCTAGCGTCGGCGGGTAGATACCGTCATCGCCATCGGCGTGGCCAATATCGGCACCATCATTGGCCTTGCCGTCGTCATCGCCATCGTCTGCACCATGACAACTACTATCTTCATCGTGTCGCAGTCGACGTCGCCGTGATACCGCGCCCGCCCGAGCCACCGACTCGCACTGAAGTGCCCGCGCGTCAGCGCGGTTTGCGAGACGCGCTGAGCAAGTCCCCGGCGGTCAGCGCCATCGCGGCCGCGTCGGTCGCACCAAACTTACTGGCCGCTCTGTGCGCGAGCCTGCGCTGGCTAGCGCGGCCGCGCGCGCTTGCGCAGCCGCAACGATGAGCCAGCCAGCGCCACGCGGTCATCGCAATCGCCGCCGCATGGGCTTTGCGAGCCTAGTTTCGGGTGGGTTGGTGGGATGATTGCGCGAGCACTGGATATGACAATTTCGAACTCCGCGACTAGATTGCACAGTTTAGGATATCTTCTTTGGTGCAAGCAAGAACAAAACATATACCACACAACCGCCCCCAGAATTACCGCCCCACCGGGAAAACAGCAATGGTCAGATGGTCTTGCCCAATCGTTGATGTATTCAAACAAATCCAGCCAGGCCGGCATCGCCCCCCCCCCCCCCCTTTGCGTTGGCCACGCGAGCGCGTCGGCCGCCGGCGCATGTCGAAACTCCCCCAGAACCTTCATCGCCGACACGCGGGAACCATCATCGTCATCGGCATGACCAGCATCGAGGCCGTCATAGGCGTTGCCGTCGTCATCGTCATCATCGTTAACGTCATCACTACCATCGTTACCGCTTCCACCGTTGCCGTCGTCACCATGATACTGCGTCCGCAACTAACTGGCCGCTCTACGCGCCAGCATGCGCGTGCCAACGCGGCCGCAAATGTGCGCCAGCCAGCACCCCGCGGTCATTGCAGTCGCCGCCGCATGGGTTTTGCGAACCAAGGTCCGGGTGGGTGGGTGGGATGGTTGCGCGGGCAGTTGAGATGCCAAGTTCCAGTTTTGCTAATTGGATCGCGCTAGATAAATTGCACCACGTTAGTTGTTTAACTGGCGTCCTTCCTTCAACAAAAAATAGAATCCCCCCCGCGGATGTACCCTCGTGGGAGAAAGCAACTTGGATGTGATCCTGGCCCACCGTTGAATGCAAGTGTGAGCATATTCCATCCCGGGATATCCCCTCCGCCCAACCAAATCACATTATCATCTAAACACATGCACCCCCAAAGCCATACAGCAGTCGAGGTCCAGATCTACGGAACGGTTACCCAAAAAATCGCGCTGGGCCCAGTGCGAATCCTTGGATGTCGCACGCGCCATCAAAGTCCATGAAACTTGGCCTCAAAAGGTCGGATGGGTCCGATGGGTCTCATACTATGCAGGCCGTTCGCGCGCGTCGGCCGCGTTCGCGCGTCGAAGCCCGTTAAAAATTCTCATCGCCGACGCGTGGGCACCCTCATCGTCATCGACGCGACCAGCATCGGCACCGTCATTGGCCTTGCTGTCGTCATGGCGATCATCGGCTGAACCGTCGCTACTATCATCGTCGTCCCCGCAAGCGTCTACGACCGACCCGCACTGAAGTGCCCTCGCGCCACCGCGGCCTGGGACACGCGCTGGGGAATTCCCATCAGTCAGCGCAGCCGCGGCCGCGTCAGCCGCACCGAACTAGGAGGCCCCGCCAGCTTGCGCGCGCCAGCGCGGCCGTAGAGATACGCCAGCTGCAAACAGTTGCCCCAACCGCCGCCGCATCATGGGCTTCGCACGCCCAGCTGCGGCTGGGCGGGTGTGACGATGGCGCGAGCAGTGGCGTTGACAACTCCAACTGCCTACGCATTAGGTGCATAACGTAGGAAGAACCACGTAGATGGTGGCACATAACTTGCACCACACAGATTAAACCACATATTTCACATAGCACTTGCTCTTCTTTCAAAAACGAAAGCTCGTGTCGACCCATTGTAAAAATGACTTCTGCATATGTATACACGCCACCCAGGACATGCCACGATACACATGATCATCAACGTCGCACAATTTTGCGTGCGCGCGCTCACTTAGCAAAACCATGCGTCGAATGAGCAGGTGGCCACAACACATTTGAAACCACATGGTCTTGCAACGCAAAGAAGGTATGCGCGCGCGATCTTGCTAAATGTGTTTGTGTTAAAAAACCACAACAAACAACAATGTTCCCAAACTTTCCACACCATCTGGCCAAACGTGCCTCTCGTGCGCGCGCATCAAAATCATTCGAACGCCCTTTGCGCGCATGATGGGGGAGGGTCGCGACGCTCGTCTACGGCACCGACATGTGGACATCATCGTCGTCACCGGACTGATCAGCATTGGCGCCGTCACTGGCCATGCCGTTGTCGTCGCCATCATCGTCACCAACAACGCTATTATCATCATCGTTGTGTCTGCCGTTGTCGAGGTCGCCATGGTGATGCGCCCGTCCGGGTCACCGATTCGGAATTCAGTGCCCGAGCGTCAGCGCGGCCTGCGAGATGCGCCCGGCAGGTCCCCAGCAGTCAGCGCCACCGCGGCCGCGCCAGTCGCGCCAGACTAACTGGCCGCTTTAGGCGCGAGCTTGCGCGCGCCAGCGCGGCCTCAACGATGCGCCAGCCAGCGACGGGTAATCATCGCAACCGCCGCCGCACGGGTTTTACAAACCAAGTTGCAGGTGGGTGGGTGGGGTGAATTCACTGCGGTAAGGATTCGTCGGTTTTTGTGTGGAAAAAACTCAGCCCCCCCGTGGGGTTATCGACCCCCCACTTCGCAGTGCAGTTGGAATGTGATCCTGCCAGGTCGAAATACGATTTTTCCATATCGGTATCGCGCCCGCCCGACATACCCTGCAACGAATGCTATGCGCGCGCCTTTGTTTATCAAAAATCACAAGGTGACAATAACCCTTTGCAAACAAGATACCGAAGTGCGCACGCGCGCGTCGTCGCGCGCACGCGGACCTCCTTTTCACAAATATTCGATGCCGTACGGCTGCCAAACCGAGTGTTCCAACAACATATAAGACATATAGTGTCGCAGCACGGGTGTTCAAAACAAAACAACAGAAAAAAAAAACGTGCGTGCGCGTTGCTGCGAACTCTCTAGAAATCCATATATTGTTGGATTCTGTTTCATAAGATGCCACCAGATGAGCTTCACGAGCGCATGTCGAACTCGTTCGAACGCCCTCGCGCGCGTGCCGTCGCGAGAATCCGCTGCAACAGAAACAGGACGAAGTGCACGCGCGCGCGCGCCGTTCGCGCGCATGCCGAAATTTGTCAAGTCAGACACATTCGGCTGCTTAGCAGTTGCGTAACCGAACTTCCAACACACACATGGAAAGACACAAAACAAACGGCGCTCGCGCTCTTGTGTATTTTTTTTTGCGGAAACCACAAGTTGTTCAACCTTTTTCTTTGGATTCTGCCAAACGGGCCTCTGGCGCCGCATGCCGGCATCATGCGCGCGTCCTTGCGCGCATGCTGGAGAGCACAAGCCGCGTCAAGCAAAACATGCGGGCCACTCTCGCGAGTCGGCCGCGCGCGCATGAACTTTTTCCAAAACCTTCATCACTGACGCGAGGACGCCGTCACCCTCGTCTGCGTGATCAGCATCGGCGCCCGCACTGGCCGCGCCTTCGTCGTTGTCAACATCGTCACAAACATCGCTACTATCATTATCTTGTCTGCCGTCGTCGACGTTGCCATAATACCGCGCCCGCCCAAGTCGCCGACTCGCAGTGAAGTGCCCGCTGGGATGTGCCCAGCGGTCAGCGCCACCGCGGCCGCGTCGGTCGCGCCAGACTAGCTGGCAGCTGCGCGCGCGTGCTTGGGTTGGCGCGGCCGCAGAGATGCACCAGCCAACGCCAAGCATGTATCGCAATCGCCACCGCACGGGTTTGGCAAACCAAGCTGCGGGTGGGTAAGTGGGATGTCTGCAAAAAAGCATGGGATGTGTCAGCTCGTTTGTAAATAATGCGCAATGCACCACGTAGATTGCACCACCTAGATTGCATCACAGAAGTTGTACTACGCATATCAATACGCACGTGCATTTACATACACGGGTGTATGTACTGCACCACGTTGTTCCCTCCACCTATATTGCACCGCGGCCTTCACGGCACACGCCTTGCACCACATAGATTGCACCACAGCGATTGCACCACATAGGCTGCAACATGCATATGGCACCATATATGTCTTACACCACATAGCCAGCAACGCATACGTTGCACGACTTACCACTGCTTAAGGTCGACGCAACATACCCATGCGATCGCGTCCATACTGTAGCGCTGCCAACCTGCGGCGATCGCAAACCCGTGTGGGCGGGCATGGTGCGTGACCCGTCTCGGGAGCGCTCGGGGAGAGCCGGCGGGAGCCCAACGAGGCTCGTGCGACTCCGCGCTGGCCCCGTGACCCAACGGGGCTAAGTGACCCCGTGTTGGCCGTGACCACAGCTCCCATGCACAGCTTTCGTGACGCGAACCAAATGGATGACGACAAATATAGAAAGAAAGAGAGAGAGAGAGAGAGACAGAGACAGAGGGACAGAGGGGGAGAAAGGAAACAACCGTGCACGTCAACACGTCGAGCAGAAACACGATGTAATGGCACAGGGTGCAGACGCATACTCAGTGAAGTGACGCGCCAGCACCGAGCAGGGCTCTGCAGCAACTTCGAAGCCTCCTGCCGCTCCGCGGCCGCTTCGCCCGCCCCCTCAACGTCATCACTCCCTTCGTCACTCCACTCGTCGTCCTCTTCCTCCTCCTCATCATCTTGCTATTCCTCCTCCTGGTCCTCTTCCTCCTTCTCCTCCGCTTCCTCCGTCTTCTCTCCTTTTCTACTTTTCCTCTCTCCTCTGTCCACCTTCCGCCGTCTTATCCTCTGGCAGGGGCGCCGATCGAGGACAACTTGATGCTCTTCCTGAAGATCGCCGCGATCGTCATCTGCGCCCGCCCCCAGGCCCCCGGACCCCAGGGAGGCCACTGCCCACGACCCGCTTATCATTCGGAGCGCGTGGACGCCATTGGAGAAATCGGAGGACGAGGACGGACAGGCGGAGGAGGACGAGGACGACGAGGAGGCTGAGAAAGAGGATGCAGGATGGGAGGCAGGAGGCGTGCACCCCCACGCCTATCGGAAAGCTCTGGAGCGCACTGGTGATTGCCGAACCGCGCAAGTCGTAGGAGTGCCCCGCTGCCTTGCTCCTCCCTCCCTCCCTCCCTCGCACCCTCGCACCCTCCCTCCCTCCCTCCCTCCCTCCCTCCCTCCCTCCCCCCCCGCCCATCCCTCACTCCCTCTCCCCCTCCCTCCACCGACGGCGAAGCCCCATCCAAAGCCCACAGAAGGCGGACCTCAGAGCCGAGCTCCCCCTGGCCGCCTTCTGAAACCGCAGCGCCAGCCGCAGCGATAGCAGCTGTGCCTGCGCATTGAGCACCGACTGCAAAAACATGACCAATGTGAACAAGACCTTGGTCGCGATGGGTTCGATGCTCGTTCTGAGGACCGTCCGTGAACCACTCGCTCCAATCGTGCGTCGATGCTGCGTCAATCGTCCGTCGCCTTGCGTCGAACTAGTCGAACTGGAATTGAACAGATCCGTTGGGTAGGCCCTTGGAAGGTCTTCCAAACGAGCATCAAGCTGAGAACTTTTCAATGGTAAGGGGGTTCTCTGCTTCGTGTCCCGCAGGCGATCTTGTGACGCCGCAGGCGCCCATGTTCTTCGCAACCATACGGGGCAACGGACACCCGCTCTGGCGTGCTCGAGCGGTGTGCCCTGGGCGAAGTGATCCGAGAACTCATGCTTGAAAGGAAGCGGGGCACAAACAAATGACCTGCCCATTACACCTGCAATGGACCAGACGACAGAATGCAAGGCGGGATGCTTGCCATATCGAACCGTATGTACCGAAATCCGCCACCGCACCCTTGAAGTAGGAGTTGGAGCGTCCCCAAGTTTATTGCTGAGCCTCAGTCCCCAATCCTGGGGATTCTTTGAAGGGGCCCGGACCCCAAATTGCCAAATCTCTTGGGGCCCCCGGCGTGCCCCCTGGGTTTCCCGGCGTCTTGTCGCATGATTTTTTCGGGCCGGGAGGGCCCCAAGACGGGCCAAGAGGGGAGTCCAAGAGGCTACCCAGACGGTCCAAGAGTGCCCCGAATCGCCGAACAATCGGTCCAAGACGCCCAAGATGGTTCCAAGACAGCTTTGGAGGCCCCAAGGGGCCTCCAAGAGGCCTCCCAAGAGGGCCCCATGGGGCAAGCACTATTGATTGCCCTTAGGTTGTTTTAAGATCTGGGTGTTGTCGCCTGTTCGGCTCCCCGACGCTCTAAGACGGCCCGATAGGTCCCCAAGATCGCCCTAAGAGGCCTCAAAGCGGGCCCCAAAACGGTCCAGGAGGGCCCCAAGACGGCCCAACAAGCTTCCAAGACGGCCCCCAAGATCGCTCCAAGAGGGGGCCCACACGGAAACCCGAACTGACATTTCGAGCCCTCGGCCCCGAGATGCCTCCAGCAGGAAGCCGCAAGAGGCCCCCAAGAGGCCCCCAATAAGCTCCAAAACTGCTCCCAAGAGGCCCCCGAGAGAGCTCCTAAGAGATCCCAAGAAGCATCCCTGAGGACTCCGACCCACAACCCAAGCACGGTGGCGGGATGGGCCGAAGGCCATTAGATCCGCCGCCCCCTGCTTGCAGGGGTGCACGGCGTGCTGGACGTTTCAGGTTTTGGTTTTGGTTCTTTTTCCAAAAGAACTCCCCAGTGGGCTCCGGCCCGTCCCGCCACCGTGCCCAAAAACGGCCGTTTCGCTCGGGACATCCTCAAAAAATCGCGAAGATGGCCCAAGATGGCCTCCAAGTCCGCCCGAGATGGTCCAAGACGGCCTCCAAAACGGCCCAAGAGAGTCCAAGACGGCCCAAGACGGCCCAAGAGGCCCCCCAGAGGCCTCCCAGACGGCCCAAGAGGCCTCCAAGAGGTCCTCCAGGAGAGTCCGAAGAGGCCAAAATCATTGATTTTCCATTGGTTTTTGAAGGATTTTGGCATTTGCGCCTTTTCGGCTCTCCGACGGCTCAAGACGGCCCAAGAAGCCCCCAAGATCGCCCAAGAGGCCCCCAAGAGATGATGGCCCAAGTGGCCTCCAAGATGGCCCCTAGAGGGCCCCAAGAGGGCCCAAGAGGCCTCCAACACGCCCAAGATGGCCTCCAAGACGCCCAAGATGGCCTCCAAGACGGCCCTGGAGCGCCCCAAGAGGGTCCCCCGTTGGCCCAGAAAGGCCCCCAAAACGGCTCCCGACGGCGTCAGACGTGCCAGGAACCCACCAAGATGGCCGAAGTTCGCTCGAAGCTGGCCCAAAAGGGCCCAAGAGGCCCCCAAGAGGGCCTCCAGGAAGGCCAAAAGATGCCAAAATCACTGATTTTCCCAAGGTTTTTGATGGATTTGGGCATTTCCCTTTTTTCGGCCTTCCGACGGCCCGACACGGCCCAAGAGCCCCCAAAGATCGCCGAAAGATCGCCCAAGAGGCCTCCAAGACGGCGACGATGACCATCAAGACGCTCACGTGTTCCCCGAAGGCTTTCCAAACCGATTCGGGGAACACATGGTCCGATGGCTTGGCAGGCCTGGCCTCAACGTTCGGCCACGTAGGCGCTTCCACAAAGGCAGGGGGCGGCGGTGATTCGCCGTAGGCGTCTTCGATCCGCCGCCCCCTGTGGTCTTGCCACAGGGGTACACGGCGTGCTGGATGTTTCAGGTTTTGGTTTTGGTTCTTTTTCTAAAAGAACTCCCCAGTGGGCTTCGGCCCGTCCCGCCGGCCACCCGCAAGTTTCCGAAAATCCATCTGTCAATGCCTTTGTTGCCCCAACTTGGCCCAAGATGGCCTCCAAGACGGCCAAGATGGCCCAAGATGGCCTCCAAGATGCTTCCAAGACGGCCAAGATGGCCTCCAAAACGGGTAAGATGGCTCCAAGATGCACCCAAGACGGCCCAAGATGGCCTCAAGATGGTCTAAGACGGCCCAAAAGGCCCGCAAAAGGCCTCCAAGACGGCCCAAGAGCCCTCCAAGACGCCCTCCAGGAAGGCCCGAATAGGTTAAATTCATTGATTTTCCTTAGGTTTTTCAAGGATTTTGGCATGTTCTTCTTTTCAGCTCTCCGACGGCCCAAGACGGCCCAAGAGGTCCCCAACATCGCCCCAACAGCACCCAAGAGGCCTCCAAGATGGCCCCATGACGGCCCAAGAGGCCCCCAAGAAGGCCCCAAGAGGGCCTCAAGACGGCCCAAGAGGCCTCCAAGACGCCCAAGATGGCCTCCAAGACGGCCAAGATGGCCCAAGATGGCCTCCAAGATGCCTCCAAGACGGCCAAGATGGCCTCCAAGACGGGTAAGATGGCTCCAAGATGCACCCAAGACGGTCCAAGATGGCCTCAAGATGGTCTCCGACGGCCCAAAAGGCCGGCAAAAGGCCTCCAAGACGGCCCAAGAGCCCTCCAAGACGTCCTCCAAGAAGGCTTGAAAGGATCAAAGTGGCCTCCAGACGGAGATGCCCACGTGTTCCCCGAAGGCTTTCCAAACCGATTCGGGGAACACATGGTCCGATAGCTTGGCAGGTCTGGCCTCAACGTTCGGCCACATAGGCGCTTCCAAAAAGGCAGGGGGCGGCGGTGATTCGCCGTAGGCGTCTTCGATAGCAGAGTGATTGGTCGGGCTGAATTGCAGACAACCCTGACGCGCGCGGTGTCCTTATCATCCCCCTCCTCTAGCTTCTCCTCTTTCTCCTCCTCCACCTCTTTCTCAACAAGGAAGGCGGCAGTGCGCCTGGCTACCCCAATCCCCGCTCGTCTAGGAAGGTGCACAGGCGGCGTCAGAGCACGCGGAGCAGGCGTAACGAACGTCGGCCAAAGAGCCTCCAAGGTGTCGGGCTAGGGTCGGGTGGGCCAACCCTCAGCCCTCCCCTCATAGCATGGGATAGCCCTTCTCCTCGCCCTCGTACGTGCGTGGCTCGCATACCGGCATGTCTTTGGCGGCGGCGCGTGCACGATGCGCCTGCGTTCGATCCCCCGTCCGCACGCCCTCGCGCGCCTTCCCTCGCTCGCTGCCCACCTTCTTCCTCCTCCAACCTCCCTCCTCCCCTTGTTCTCCTCTTCCTCCTCGACTCATCCTTCCTTCGCCTCCCTGCTTCCCTCCCTCCTCCTCCGCCTCTTCCAATCCTTCTCCTCGTTCTGCTCATGTTGTCCTCCTCCTCCGCCTCCTGGTCCCCCCTCGCCCCCCCTCCTCTTCCCGTCCTCCTCTTCCCGTCCTCCTCCTCCCGCCCCCCTCCTCCAGACCCCCTCCTCATCATCCCCCCCGTCCTCGTTGTCACTCCCGCCCGAATGCTCATCCGAGTACCCTCCCACTCCCTTCTGAACTCAATGGCCGCTGAGGCCGCCGGACTGGCACTATCACCAGACCGCTCGTGTCGCAGAGCGGGCGGTCGATCTCGTCGGCGAGGTCGCGGCACTCGTCCCCGCGCCTGGCGCGCGCAAGGGGGGCCGCGGGGAGGGTGGTCGAGGAGCTGGCGGAGGAGGGAGAGGACGCGGAGGACGGACACTGGCTGCAGGGAGGTTGCGGTCTGGACCTTCTGCTTTTGTCCCCATATCCTAAGATGGGGTTCTTGTTATTTCTTGGACGCCGCCGACTCCAGACAACAAGAACACACCCAGAACACAGACTTACTCATGCACAGACTTACCCATACTCAGACATACTCATACCCAGACGTACTCATACACAGACTTATACTCAGACTTACTCATACCCAGACTTACTCATACACAGACTTACCCATACTCAGACTTACTCATACTCAGACCTACTCATACTCAGGCTTACTCATACCCAGACGTACACACAGACTTACTCATACACAGACTTACTCATACACAAACTTACTCATACCCGGACGCACTCATTTACAGACTTACTCATTTTCAGACAGACCTACACATACTCAGACCTTCTCATAGTCGCAGTTACTCAACACACGGCAGGCGGGGCGCTGGCTTCAGCACCCCTAAGGGGAGCCGCCAGGGGTGTTCTCACGGGCCCGTTCGCGGCCAGTTTGTGGGGATGTCTCAGGCGCTTTGCTCGTTTTCATGCCCAACATCCTTTGCTTTCAGAGCAGATTGAGAATATGTCTCAGGCGGGGCGCTGGTTTCAGCACCCCTAAGGGGAGCCGCCAGGGGTGTTCTCACGGGCCCGTTCGCGGCCAGATTGTGGGGATGTCTTAAGCGGTTTGCTCGTTTTCATGCCCAACATCCTTCGCTTTCAGAGCGGATTGTGAGGATGTCTCAGGCGGGGCGCTGGTTTCAGCACCCCTAAGGGGAGCCGCCAGGGGTGTTCTCACGGGCCCGTTCGCGGCCAGTTTGTGGGGATGTCTCAGGCGGTTTGCTCGTTTTCATGCCCAACATCCTTTGCTTTCAGAGCAGATTGTGAGGATGTCTCAGGCGGGGCGCTGGTTTCAGCACCCCTAAGGGGAGCCGCCAGGGGTGTTCTCACGGGCCCGTTCGCGGCCAGTTTGTGGGGATGTCTCAGGCGCTTTGCTCGTTTTCATGCCCAACATCCTTTGCTTTCAGAGCAGATTGAGAATATGTCTCAGGCGGGGCGCTGGTTTCAGCACCCCTAAGGGGAGCCGCCAGGGGTGTTCTCACGGGCCCGTTCGCGGCCAGTTTGTGGGGATGTCTCAGGCGGTTTGCTCGTTTTCATGCCCAACATCCTTTGCTTTCAGAGCAGATTGTATGTCTCAGGCGGGGCGCTGGTTTCAGCACCCCTAAGGGGAGCCGCCAGGGGTGTTCTCACGGGCCCGTTCGCGGCCAGATTGTGGGGATGTCTTAAGCGGTTTGCTCGTTTTCATGCCCAACATCCTTCGCTTTCAGAGCGGATTGTGAGGATGTCTCAGGCGGGGCGCTGGTTTCAGCACCCCTAAGGGGAGCCGCCAGGGGACAGGACGATCATGAACAGACGCTCGCTATGGCATGACGGCGTGACGTAAAGCATGAGATGCACATATGGGGAGCTCCACGCAGTGCGTAATTTGGCGTGTCGCGGCGGCGGCCCCGGAGACACGCCATGCCCTGCAAGCGGATAGCTCGTCGCCCCGCTCCGCGGATCTCCACGGGGCGGGGGGCTGGGAAATGCACGGGGGCGCTGCTGCTCGGGGACCGGGACGTGGTCAGCGTGTCGAGCCGGCGGCGCGACACGCTACGCGGAAGTTCCCGATCGCAGATGAAGACGGGGAGGAAGATGGGGGATGAGGAAGGGAAGCGACCGTTCGGATCGTTGAAGGCAAGGCTTCAGCGCGCTTGAAGGCAAGGCACCGGACAAGGAACGGCTGCGCAGGGCAACACGGGGATCGAATGACACCCGTTCAAGCATGAGACCGTGCACAGGCGAATGTCGGAGAGGTGGCTGGAGCGCTGCTCCTCTCGCTCAGGGTATCGGGCCCATGGGGTATCGAAAGAAATCCGCCGACCCCTTGTGGGTCTCTAGACGCGTGAAAGATTTCCCCTCCATCATCCCTCCCCCAGGACCCCAAACCGGCAATTTGACCCCCCCCCCTGGCCCGGCCCGACCCCGGACCGAACGCGTCATGGGGGAGCGGAGGACTCCAAAACGGGCCAAGAAGGCACCAAAACGCCCTCCAGACGTCCCAGAGGGCCACGAATCGCCGAAATATAACTCCTTGACGCCCACGATGGCCTCCAGACGGCCTCCGAAGCTGCCAAGACGCCCCCAAAGGCCCCCAAGATGCGTCCCAAGAGGGTCCCAAGAACCAGAAATCGTCCAATCCCATTGAAAACAGCATTTTTCGCATATTCGCCTTTTCGGCTTTCACAACGTCCAATACGAGCAAAGAAACTTTCAATATCGCCCCCGGACGGCCGAAGGGGCCCCTAAGAGGGGTCGAAGAGAGTCCCAAAAACAGCCCATGAAGCCCCCAAGACAGCCCAAGAGGGCCCCCAAACGGCTCCAAGAGGGAGTCCAGAGGGCACTTTTTCGAGCCTTCGGCCCCCAAACGCCTCCAGCCTGCCCCAAAACCGCCCCAAGAGGCCCTGAGAGACCCCCAAGAGAATCTCAAATGCCTCCAAGAAGCCCCCAGGAAACCACCAAGAGGCCCCAAAGATGCTTCGAGGCGGCCGGATCTGGCCTGCAGACAAGCCAAAATGCCGCCAACAAACAACAAAAGAGCACCAAGAGGTAGGTACGATAACATCAACGAAGCAACAAGAACGATGTCGAGCGCCGTGTCATGATTCGGACCAGCCTCGTGACATGCAGTGCTGGAGACGCAGTAGTTCATTCAGGGGTCGGCGGATGTGGCGCAAGCCTATAGAATCCACGTCCGGAGGTGCGGTGCTGAGCGGCAGCGTTTTCTGCGGAGGCGATAACGCAACGTATCCAATGTGTCCAATGATTGCATAATTGCAAGGTGTTGTATTGTGTTGCATTATTATGTCTCCCCCCTAACCCCCCCCAGGGGCCGCGCCACTGGGCTTCAAAAACATCAAAAACCTATGAGAAATCAACAAATTCGGCCTCTTGGGCCTCTTGGGGCCCCAAGAAAGTTTCAAGACGGCCCAAGATGGCCCCAAGACAGCCCAAGACGGCCTCAAGACGGCCCAAGATGGCCCCAAGAGGGCCCATGAGGCCCCCAAGAAACCCGAGAGCGCCTCCGGAGGCCAAAACCTTGGATTCTCCGATAGTTTTGGGACAATTTCAACGTTTTCGCCTTTTTCGGCTCTCAGAAGGCCATGACGGCCCAAGCAGCCTCCAAAAAGGCCTCCAAACGGCCCAAGAGGCCTCCAAGGGGGCCCCAACACGGCCCAAGAGGGCCCCGAGACGGCCAAAAAAACCCTCATCACGGCCAAAAAAAAAATTCAATACGGCCCCAGAGGACCCCAAGAGAGCCCCAAGGCGGCCGCGGGAGGCTTCCAAAGTGGCCTCCGAAGTGGCCAGACAGCGTAAGAGCGCCCAAAGACGGCCCAAGACGTCCCCAAGAAGCCCCAAGAGGCTCCAAACAGGCCCCCCAGAAGCTCAAAAAAGCTCCTAAGAAGCTTCCAATAAGCTCCCAAGAGACTCCCAGGAGGCCACACAACGACTGGACTGAACGTGCTCTGAAACACCCTGCAGAGTTTTCTGCGGAGGCGATAATGCAACGTACCCAATGTATCCAATGATTGCATAATTGCCACATATTGCATTGTGTTACATTATTAATTATGTCTCCCCCCCTAACCCCCCCTCTGGGAGCTGCGCCACAGGAGCGGACCAAAGTGCCCCCCCCCCCCTCCCGGGGCTTAAAAACCTACCACAACCTATAGAAAATCAATGATTTTGACTTCTTAGGCTTCTTGAAAGGCCAAGAGGGTGCCAAAACGGCTCCAGATGGGCTCTGCGCGGACCAAGACAGCCCCGAGACGGTCCAAGACGGCCCCAAGAGGGCCCAAAAAGCCCCACTGACGGCCCAAGAGGGCCCCAAGAGCGCCCACAACTGCGCCTCCAGAAGCCAAAATCATTGTTTTCCTTTTGGTTTGGTAAGATTTTAGCGTTCTCGCCTTTGCGGCCCAGGCAGCTTCCCAACTCGCTCCTGAACAACCCAAGAAGCCCCCAAGAGGGCCCCAATACTGCCCAACAGAACCCCAACACGGCCCAAAGAGGCCCCCAAGACGGTCCAAGAGGCCCCTATGACGGCCCAAAAAAACCCCAAGGCGGCCGCGAGAGGCCTCCAAGACGGCCTCCGAAGGGGCGAAACGGCGCCAAAGCGCTCCAATACGGCCAAAGGCGCCCCCAAGAGGCCCCAAGAGGCACCCAAGAGGCCCCCAAGGGGCCCCCAAAAAACCCGAAGAGGCCTCCAAGATGTCCTCAAGAAGCCTCCCAAAGGCTCCAAAGAAGCCCCCCAAAGGCCACACAGCGACTGGAGTGTAATGCCATTTTTCCACCCTGGGCGAACTGCGGCGCAGCGCCAGCCAGGTGGAAGTTGGTCACCGCGGCGCCCATGATTAGAGCTGGCGCTGGAAAGAAATATGGGGAGGGAGTATGAAAAGGAGTGAGGGGGGAGAGGCCCCCAAAAAGTCCCCAAGAGGCCCAAGGAAACTCCCAGGAGGCCTCCAGGAGGCCCCCAAGAGGCTCCCAAGAGGCTCCGCGACGACGTGACTGTACGTGCTCCGGACGTGCACCCCGCGAAGCGAGAGGAATCCACGTCCGGAGGTGACGTGTTGCCGGAGGCAGGTCCGCGGAGGCTATAATGCAACGTCTCCAATGTATCCAATGACTGCATAATTGCTACATGTTGTGTTGTGTTACGTTATTATGTACCCCCCCAGCCCCCCCCCCCAGGGGCCACACCACTTCCGCCACGCCGACCCAAAGTGGCCCCTCCCTCCTGCGCCTCAAAAACCTACAGAATCCAACCAAAACCTATGGAACATCTGTGATTTGGGCCCCGTCGCCCTCTTGGGGCCCCACGAGGGCGTCCAGACGGCCCAAGATTAATTGTGAAAGTTGGAGGCCTTTAAAAACGAACGTGACCAGACAGCGCAAGAGCGCCCTCAAGACGCCCACACGGGGCTCCGAGAGGCCCCCAAGAGGCCTCCCAGAGGCCCCCAAGAGGCAACACAGACGCCCTCGCGAGGACCCAAGAGGCCCCACAGAGGCCTCCAAGGGGCCCCTAAGAAGTTCACAGAGGCCCGACAACGACTGGACTGTACGTGCTCCGGACGTGCACCCCGCGAAGCGAGAGGAATCCTAACTCTCGCAACCGCCTCTGCTGGTTGGCACCCAATGCGTTGCTAGCTCTCGCCAGCTTTTAGGTCTCCGCCGCTTCCTCCACTTGTCGGCCGATTCCGAAATTTGCGCAACCTCCTGGTCCAAGGC